TTTGAGCTCTTCAATGGTCTGAGACCAATTCATATTTTTCTTGGAGGCTTTGGATGTAGGAGCTTTGGCTTCGTTGTCTTCTTCTGGTTGTATGTTTTGATCTTCTTTGTCACCAAAGATAATATAGTTTGACTGTTTTTGCACTGCTTGCTCATGATCCTGGCCAATTACTTGAGTTATAAACTCTTTGTAAAGGTAGGGATCTGTTTCCAATGTGGAGAATGTACTGTCCCAAGCTTCAGGGGTTTTGTACAGCTGTTTTCAGAGATACTTCTAGGGACCTGTAAATTTTCAGTTCTTCCAAGGTGCTATGATCAAGAGTGAGGTGTTTACTCCTTTCCTGTCCTGTGCTCTGCTCTATGAGTGACCACAAGCACTCTTTTCTGTCTTGGAACTGTGAGGAGGGTTTCCTCTCCTCAGCCACTACAAGCTCCATCACACCAGCGCTCCTCCTTGCCCTAGGACCACCACCCAGAACTGTGACCCAGATCCAAGCATGGGCAAAGCAAGAGAATCCTGCACCAGCAGAGAGATTCCTGCAATCCCCCTCTGATCTGCCACTCGATTCTCCCTCAGTCTGTGGGCAGCCACCGCTCCAGGGCCATACTCGGGGAATGGGACTGGGACCCCGAGCTTCTCTCTCACTGCAGAAACAGACTTTTCCCACTGACCTTCTAAGTTGTCTTTAGCGTTCATGGGTTGAAAAGTCTGGAAACTGCCACAGCTGCCTGTGATTCAGTCCTCTGAGGCCTGCTTCAGGTTCTCTGCGGCTTGCTCGCCCACACCGAACTGTGTTCCTCTCCCATCCCGATGCAATATACCTTTCTGATCAACCATCCGGGTTGTCTTGGCCTGGAAATTTGTTTTACTTTGTCTTTTTGTGGGTTCTGCCGCTTTAGAATTTGTTTAGAGCCATTTTTTATAGGTATTTGGAGGGGTTTGGGGGAGAGCTCAAGCAAGTCACTGCTTTTACTGTGCCGTTTTGGCTCCGCCCCTTGGTTCAGTTTTAAAATAGTTTAAATAGTCTCCCTCCTCACGTCTGTCATAGAAATTTAGCATGTACTTTTCCTATATGTTATATTCTGAGTTGTTGTATAGTCAGTTTTATAAGATCATCTCCTCTGCTAGATTACAAATATAAGTTCTTTGAAGCCCTGGGCGTTACTCTCATTTATGGCCTTTTTACAAAGTAGAAGTTTAATAGATACTGAATTTCAGTGAGTTAAGCTACTTTATAATTTTACCTTTGATCTGACTGGAAGATACTCAGCCACTGTCATAGATGCAAACTGTTTCTCCTCTAGCTTCTGTAAGCAGCCACTTTCAGAATTTAAAGACCTTAACTCTCTTTTGAGAAAAACATATTGCTGTGTGAAAGTAAACAGTCCCCATTCTTTTTTCTCATTTCCAGGGACTTAAAGAGAGATGTGGCTAAGAAACTGGAAAAGCTAGAGAAGAGGACGCAGAGAGCCATTGCCGAGCTAATCCGTAAGCTTATTGACCTCTGGTTTAGGTCTCAACCAGTGTCACAAGCAAATTAAAGAAGCACTAGCTTTTCACTGTTTCCAGGACAAATTCTAGAGGGTGTTGTCTTGGCCCCTTAAGGTCTACACTGTGATGGTGCCCTCTTCCCAAGTTTGAGCAACCATTTTAGAGCTGGCATTGATTAAGATCATAGCTTTAGAGCTGAGGGACCTTAGAGGTCATTTTTTCTAGACCTCATGTTTTGAAGCCCATAAATGTTAAGCCACTTGTCCTAAGTAACATGGCTAAGTGGCCAGGATCAAACCCAGAGTTCTTTGATTCCATTTGAGCAATTTTCCCACTGTATTAGTTTCTCGTGACCCTGGTGGTGTGGCATATGACCTTTAAGCCTGAAATAGAGTATGCCCTGTGCCCTCCTACTTTCAGAGCCCATCCCTTTGAATATATTTGGCTTTGAATAAACACTTTTAGACTGACTCAGCCCAGAATGGACTCATTAATGAGTCTGTTTAAGCCAAAATGTCATTTAGTAGGTCATCCTTAAGGATCCTGTTTTATAGCCTTTCTGAACTGTCTTTTACCTTGTAGGAGAAAGACTTAGAGGCCAAGAAGATGACCTGGAATCTGCAAAGCCAGAAGAGAGTGACTCAGATTAAAACAGCTTCTCTTCAGCCCTTGGCCACACATGACAGCAGTGTGGACTGATCCTTCTAGGCCAGGGACAAAGGCCCACCCTCCATCTTGGTCCCCAGAGTGACCTCCATCATGGGACTCCTTTTAATGCCCATCTCAGTGCGTCTTAGAGCGTATTTTAGAGGTGTGGCTTAAGTATGTCTGGTCTATGATTACTGCAATCTAAACTAAAAAAAAAAAGCCTTAACAGGATACATTAGTGAGAGCTTCTTTGCTGTTATCACCGTGTTAACATTTTCTACCAATTTGCATATAGCATATTTCATTTTTATTTTACTTTTTAAAAAACATCTCAGTTGATTATTTTTAACATTCCTTTTAAATTTTGAGTTCCAAATTCTTTCCTTTTCACCCCCTTCCACACCCACTGAGAAGGCAAGCAGTGATATCAATTATACATGTGAAATCATGCAAAATATTTCCATGTTAGCATTTTTTTTTAAAGTAAGAAAGATAAAGAAAGTGAGGAAATTACACTTCAATTAGCATTCAGAGTTCCATGGTGGCATATTCCAAATAGATAACTTCAGTCTTTACTGACAGCAACAAGCTTCTGTGATAAAATATCAGTCAGATTGATCAAATGCTGGCCAGTTGGCAATCTGATTCTGGACAGGTAGGGGGCGATGGTAAGGCAGGAAGCTGCATTGCTGTGTATATGTGTATATGTGTATAGATGTATATATTTTGGATTTTTTTTATTTTTTAGAAATAAAGACAGACCCAAGTGTGTGAGACTGAAATGCTTGTCATGATCCAGAAAAGGAGGGAGTATGTGACCCCCTTATTCTGCCAATACTACTATGCCCTTGTGACCTATATTAAAATTATTCCATCTAACCGTGAATGGAAAAGGGTTGGAATGATTTTGATATGGGCTATCTAACTAGGCCAGTGAAGAGGGTAGTGCAGTTCAAATGGGGGCAGGCACTTCTGAATTTGTAAGACCTACTAGTGCCCTTATGATACACTTTCCAACTCTTAGGACCCACTCTGGGAGCAAAGGCAACAGAATAAGCTGTCTCTCTTCCAACCCTAAAGAAAAGTTCCAATGGAAACTCCAGAGAACAACATTCCCAGGGCATATGAGACCTTTAGAAGTGTTCTTGTGGAGCGGGGAGAACTGCTCTGTGTTGAGCAGTTTCAGGCAGGTCTAAAGGGTCCAGAGCAGGAGAAGACAAACAGTGGAAAAACAACTGACCTTAAATTGGATAGGAAGTCATGGCTCCTGGCCCTGAAGCTTGTGAGCCCTTGCTCTGCATCTATCCCAAATCTGGCTCAGGTAACTCCGTTGGGCAACAGCTGAGCAACAATAAATATTAGTCATTGTAAGTTGTTGAATTGAACCGGAGCAGCCAGCAAACATCACATCAAGTATTCATTTAGTGCTTCCCAGCTGGCCATCCACCAGGGCCTAGCCAGCGAGTGAATCTTCTCATCTCTTCTGCCTCCATAAAAATGACCCATATCCTTGTCTTCCTGCCTTTCTACCTCTTTCTTAGGAAGCAATAAATCAATATTCTCGCTACTAGAAATGTTATGACAATTTTCTGCCCTAAAGCTCATGTTCCTGTGCCTCTGCCTCTGTTTGCCAGGAAGTGTTGTCTGCTCCTGGTACGTGAGGGCAGGGACGCTCCTTTTCAGATTTGTATCCACAATTCCTGGCACCAAGTAGACACTTGATAAATACTTGCTGATTGATTAGTCCTTTGTTCAAAGGGCTACCCTGGATTCTTGGAGACATAGTTGAGCTAAAACAATTCCTGCTTTGTGGAGCTTATCGTCTAATAGGGGAGCTAAGTGATTACAATATATCAGCATGGTACATAGTTGTGCTTGATAAAAGCATGTTGACTGTTGACATCGTTACATAGATAAAAAGACAAAACAAGATATAGGTGAAATCCAAGGGGTGGGGTCTGTAACTGACCACTTAAGGCAAAACTGCTTCGCAGAATCCAGGTTCCTCCACATCTCATTCCCAGGCCCACGGCTCCATAGTACCATTCTGTATTCCTATCCCAGGAAACTACAACACTGTCCTCAGGTCCTCCCTTCCCAGCCTCCATCACCTGGCCCAGGTAGTGGATTACAGTGGAACGAATGCTCAAGTTCACATCTTCACTTGGTCACCGTGTGGGTGACTTTGAGTAAGTTGTTTAGTCTTTCTGGGCTTCTGTTTACTCATCTGTAAAATGAAGAAGTTGAATTAGATGGCCTCTAAGGCCCCTTCTGGGCTCCTAGGGGGCACCATAGTGCACAGAGTGCTGGGTCTGGAGTCAGGAAGACTCATCTTCCTAAGTTCAAATCTGGCCTCAGACACTTACTGGCTGTGTGATCCTAGCTAAGTCCTGTTTGCCTTAATCACGCTGGAGAATGAAATGGCAAACCGCTCCAGTATCTTTGCCAAGAAAACCCCAAATGAGGTCATGAAGAGTCAGACACAACTGAAAAAACACTGAACAACAAAGCCTCCTCCAGCTCCAATTGTATAATTTTGTGATCTTCTTTCAATCTAGGTAGGTCCTATTGTTTGTCAGTAGAGCAAAGGGCTGCTTAGGGAATTTGGGGCAAAGTAATAGGAAAGTCAGGAATGCAACAGGGTTGGGGGTGAGAAGCCTTAAACAGGGATCTTGGTTTCCATAGGGCCTGCTGGGTCCTATTCCTGTTTTTTTTTTAATAAGTTATTTATTTATTTTTAGGCAATTGGGGTTAAGTGACTTGCCCAGGGCACACAGCTAGTAAGTGTCAAGTGTTTGGCTTAAGGCCAGATTTGAACTCGGGTCCTCCTGACTTCAGGGTCGGTGCTCTATCCACTGCACCACCTAGCTGCCCCTATTCCTGTTTTGTTTTGTTTTGTTTTTTTTTAATAGGCAATTGGGGTTAAGTGACTTGCCCAGGGCACACAGCTAGTAAGTGTCAAGTGTTTGGCTTAAGGCCAGATTTGAACTCGGGTCCTCCTGACTTCAGGGTCGGTGCTCTATCCACTGCACCACCTAGCTGCCCCTATTCCTGTTTTGTTTTGTTTTGTTTTTTTTTAATAGGCAATTGGGGTTAAGTGACTTGCCCAGGGTCACACAGCTAGTTAGTGACAAGTGTTTGGTTTAAGGCCGGGTTTGAACTCAGATCCTCCTGACTTCAGGGCCGGTGCTCTATCCACTGCACCACCTAACTGCCCCTATTCCTGTTTTTAAAGAAATAATCTAGGACTGTGCAGGATTGCTCAAATCCAAGATCCAGTAAGAAGACAGATAGTGAATATTCACCTTTCTCCTTCTTCATTGATATGAGGTGTGTCATTCATCTGTCTCCATCCTTTCCTGTAGGACAAGGCATTGAAGGCCCTAAACTCCTTTCTTCATGTGTCTTTTAGCTAGTGGCAGAAGCCTTTCTATTGCTCAGTGAACTTCTCACTCCGTTACCTATTATCAGGCAGTTAAATGCTTTCCCTCTAGGTCAAATACTGCTTTCCTCTAGTCAACTCAGTTTGACCAGGAAGAAATGATTATATAGAATCTTTTAACTGGCCTTTTGGTAACTAAAGTGCAATTTTAGGGGCCTTATAAACTTGAACATTGATTGACTTGAAAATAGTAAGATAATTTACTTACTGTTTTATTTATTAAATTTAAAACTTGGAGCAATAAAGCACAGATTTAACCTCTATGAATCAATGGACAATAATGTACTTGTAACAATAATGTAATTAGGCCCAACAGCTCTCAAACTTTTTGGTTTCAGGACTCCTTTATAATCTTAAAAATTGTTAGGACCTCAAAGTACTTGTGGTTATATGGGTTATAGCTATCAGTATTTACTGTATTAGAAACCAAAACAAAGTTTTCAACTATTAATTAATTTAAAAATAATAAACCTATTTTGTATTAACATTTTTTGTTGTGAAAAAAAAAAACATTTTCCAAAACAAAAAATGTTTAATGAGAAGAGTGACATTGTTCTACTTATTTTTGCAAATCTCTTTAATGCCTGGCTTAATAAGAGACAGCTGAATTCTTATTTCTGCTTTTTTTTGTAGTGGTTGGTGGTAGGGAGTCAATTAGGCTTAAGTGACTTGCCCAGGGTTGCATAGCTAGTGAGTATCTCAGGCCAGATTTGAACTCAGGTCCTCCTTCCACCAGGGCTGGTGATTTACCCACCTCCCCAGCTGCTGCCCCTTCTATTTGCTGCTTCATTCATTCTGTTATGATAGGTTATTTTGGTAGATGTGTATGAAGAAAACCTGACTGCACATGGATATAGGTGGTAAGGGGAGGGAGATTTTAATAGGCAGATAACATCTAAATTTTATGATGAAAATAGAATTTTTTGTTTTTATTTTTAAAACTTTTTTTACTCTCACAGATGCCATGAAAAGTCTCTGTGGACCTCAGTTTGATAACTGATCTGGTCCAGTCTTCCCCATTTTATAGATGAGGAAACTGAGTTCTTAAAAGGCTAACTTATTTGCCTAAAATCACAATGGTTGTAAGTAGCAAAGCAGCATTCAAAACCAACTTTTTCAACTCCAAATCCTGCTCTTTACTGCACTACATTGATCAGATTATAAAAGGTCACATGATAAGGTTTCCCTTTACCACTTCCTATTGCTTTTTGAGGTGATACTGCTCACACTCTACCAGGGTCTTTTGTAAAAATTTTGTAAATGACTTGCTCTTCTAAAATGTGTTTCCCTTGGCCATCATTCTCTGTCTGGCAAGGAGAATATGTCCTGACTGAGGTGGTTTCTAGGCTTACTTGGCTTCCACATTGTAGTGATTGCGCTAAATTGCTTGAAATTTGTTATAAACTGATTAAAGCCAATGTCCATTTCTTTTTTCATTTCCAATGTTTAAATAGGTCAGGTTGGAACTAATTTAGTTGAATACACTGTTTTCTTCTGATCTTTATCTTTCTAAATTATGTTGATTTTTATCTCTGCTCTCATAATTTGATAGTCTGTGCCCCTACATTGGTAACCAGTCATTTCCTGTTATGATATAGTCAGTTTCAGTTTTTCTCTGATGTTTGGTATTTGCCATGTTTAATAATGCCTTCCAACTTATACTGAAGAAAGAATTCATGCTTTCTTTCATGAGAGGTACTGAAGAGTGCTTGATTTTGTTAACTTTATGAAGAATTGGAGAAGGAACTAATCTAAGACACTTGATCTAAAACAAAATAAGTTTGATGTT